ATTTGTTTAGGATTGCCTTCGACTGTTCTAGTTAAACAGTTCAACTGAAACATCATTAGTTAATTTTTCAAATTTTCTTTGGTCCAACTGCTTTTAATGTAATTTTTTTCTTCTACTTGCTCTGATTCTGTTTTATTTTCCTATATTTTAGTGTAAAGGTTCAGTTTTAACTCAATATGAATCTAAGTTTTTAGTTATATTTTACAAAAAATATATAATAAAATAATTGTATTTTCTGATAATCATGAAAAAAATGTATCGCTTTCTGTATTATTTTTGTTAATTTCCCTGCAGCTTTCTGAGGGCCCCTTATCCTCCTAACTCCATTTTGAAAAACCACTGGTCTAAGACACACATATCTTTAGGCTACGTCTAAATTAGATTTCTGACAGCCGCGGGCAACAGGCAGACATTATGGCGCTCCTTAACCCTTTGTTGCTGCAGTAATCTTTAGCTGTGTGGTTTTCTTAGACCGTCTACACCACTTCCAATGGAGCCAGCCTGGCCCCTACAACTGACTCAGCCTTTTTTAAGAGTTTATTGATTCTGTTTGAGTCCTTCACCTTTTTCTAGCCCGCCAAGGCACTGATAAATGGATTCTTTTTAAATCACTTTCTACCATGAATATGAAATCTATCAAAGAACAAAACTCCTGATAGGATACGTTGCAAATATTGTAAAAGCAATAAAGTTTGCCAATATATCAAGACAGAGTCCTATAAAAAATAGGGCCATTGAATGTAAAGATGTTAATGGATATTTTAATTAACTAAAATATGGAGTGAATTTGTTCCATTATAGTTGGAAGCCAATAACATGTTTCGTAAATGGAAATTTCAAAAGAAAATGCAATGTAGAAATTGAAATTGAAGAAATTGAAAACCCGCTTATGCAAACTAATTTAATAAATAAATAATATATATAACTCACTTTTTACTCAGATTGTATTTTCTTTTTTTTCTTCAAATTTTATGTTTTCAAATTTATTATTGTTTTAAAACTTCTCTTTTTTAGATTGTTTTTCTTAATACTTTTCTTTTCAACTTGCATTTTACTGTTCAAATTGTCTTGAATTCAAGCCCAGTACAGATGCTTGGTCTTGTCCAATAAAAATATTGTTGCAAATGTAAACCAATAGCAATGTGTCTTTGCTCCTCACTCTAGAGAAAAACTCAACATTAGATTGGAAGACAATATAAAATATTCTAGAAATTTTATTTTCTAAAAATAGAAAATAAAATTGGAAAATGATGCAATTCATAAAATGAATTATGAAAAGTAAAAAAGTGGAGAAAAAAAATGAACATTTGAAAAAATAAAATATGGGGGGAAAATAAAGGAATTTTTTGAAAAACAACACCTGAGAAAAAAAGCAAAGGTACTCCTAAAACTTTTTAAAGTTTCATTTTTGGATTATTTTTTATTTTCTTCAAATTTCCATTTACAAAACATGTTCCTT